TAAGTAAATATCTTCTTTGAGTGCTGGCCACCTCCCATGGCAATGCCGGAAATGCAGATGACTCAGCTATGTGTTAGGTAACTCAGGTGGTCCTTTATTTACTGAGAGCTTCTTAAGAGCGCTGAGCCCACAAGGAGGACTGTGTGCATGCTGCCTGGTAAGAGCTTGGGGTCTTTGGGCTGAATGTCCAGAGCTCCTTGGATCACGACCCCTTAGAAAGGAGCCGAGACTCTAAAGCTGATGAAAGCATGCCAGCCAGCCACTCCAAGAACAGTTTCCTCTCTCTCCTGACAGGGGTGGAGAAAGTGAGAGGGGCCTGGTGACTTCTAGGAAACATGAGGTGAAGACCCAAAGAGTCCCCTTCTGCCTTCTGGCTTCACTCTCTCCCTCCAGAGGATGGGTGCAATGGTACCAATGTCACAGGGTGCTGTGACAGGAGAGAGGACCCCTCACCAGGCATGACTCAGTGTGTAGCTGTGCTGATTGTGGGGCCCTGGAACGTGGGCTCCTTGTCGTTCTCCTTGGCAATTCCCCACTGCAGGTTTTGTTTAAGGACAGTGGCTGTGTGCACACAGTGAGCCACTTGCTTCTGTGTGTAACTCTGCTGTGTGGGTACGCATATGTGTAAGATGCTGTATGTGTGTGTGTGCGAGTACAAGCGAACAAGACAAGTGTGAGAAGCATGTGACAGTCCTTGACCAGAAAGGAAGGACATTTTTAGTAACGCAGAGCCCTGCTGTGCAGAGCCTCAGGATGTGGGACTTTCTGTGAGTTCCCTGTATTATAGGAGAGAGAGGCAAGAAAATGTCATTATGTTTGACGCCTATTCAAACAAAACGCAACAGACTTTTGTGTTCACATTGGATGTACATGTTGTTGTTGTTAAGTGCCGTCAAGTCTGGCTGATTCTGGAGAGTTGTCTCCGAGACTACAAATCTTTGTGGGAGCAGAAAGCCTCGAGGTTTGCAGTCCAGTGGTGACCCCTGGGACGTACATATTGAAGCACAAGTTAGGTGGTGTTGGTGCATCCTTGTTGTTGAATTGACTCTGGTCCATGACAAGCCCATGTGTGTAGAGAGAACTGCTCCACGGGGTTTTCAACGGTGTGACCTTTTGGCAGCAGATCACCAGGTCTTTCTTCTGAGGTGCCTCTGGGTGGGTTCGAACTGCCAACGTTTTGGCTAGTTGTCAAGTGATTAACCGTTTGTGCCACCCAGTCTCCTGGTTGTGCTTCCTTTAAGAAAAATACTATATAAAGAGCAGGGGGCAGTGAGGAAGCAAGAAGAAGACTGCAGCCCCTAGAGGGTCTAGGCATGATGATGCATTGGGCACCACCTACATTATGCCTGGGGGACATGGAACCCTTTCTCTCAGTGGGGGCTGGAAGTGGAGGGAGCAGGTCCTAAAGGCAGACTCCAGTCTGTAAAGCTACTGAGCTGTGCTGCCCAATATCCTGCCTGCTCCCCGACTCCAGTCTATCTTGACACCCTGAGGGGTGGGAGGAGGCCAGTTCCTTCCTCATTACCTTGATCCCACCAACTTGTTTTCCTTACCAGAGTCTCAGTGAGAGGAAATGCTGGGGATTTAGCAGCAATGCAACTGTGTGTTTGTGCACGAAAATCCCCGGAACCATTTGGAGATGAAAAGGCTGTAGTAATTGGCAGGGAGAATTAACTGTGAGTTAGCCTGATACCTAGCTGTATGCAAGCGTGTTGTTAGTTTTTAAGTGGTCTGTGCATTGAGATGCAATATGCATTTGCACAGAACCCAAGTGTAGAGTGCAACTGAAAACTGAAAAGAAATCCTACTCTCTGAGCTAATGTGTGCAGTGTTACAGGATTAGTGCGGGACCGCTAACTGTAGGGTCAGCGGTTCAAACCTGCCAGTTGATCCTTGCAAACCCTATTTGTTGTTAAGTGCTATTGAGTCAGTTCCGACCCACAGCAATCCTGTATAGGGTTTCTGAGGAGCAGCTGGTGAGTCTGCACCACCAACCTTACAGATTACACCAACTTTGCAGTCTAGTGCATTAACCCATAACACTACACCAGGACTTCCTATATGGGGTCGCTATGAGTCGGAACTGACTCGATGGCACACGATAGCAACAAGAAGCTAATGTATACCTTTGGAGTCTCCCAAGTTTTTGGATTTACCAAAAGCAAAGAATACACACATTTCTTTTACAACGATGATTTCATTTTCCCAACAAACAGCAGCAGACATGATTGGGTGTTCTTAATCCTTAAAATTCTTTTAGGATGAGAAAACACAGAGGGTGGCAAATAGAAATGGACATTTAAGTGGATGGATGGGTGGGTGGGTGGATGGGTGGAGAGATGATAGATAGGTAGACAGTTAGATACGTAAAAAGGTACCTAGACAGATAGAAAGGAAGGAAGGGAGGTAGATAAGTGGGTGGGTAAGAGGGTAAAAAGATAGAAGCATAGGTAGGTAGACAGATAAATACATGGATGGGGAGATAGATAGATTATGTTGTTGTTGTTATGTGCCATGGAGTTGGTTCCGACTCATAGCGACCCTGTAGATAGGTTGTTGTTATTATTGTAAAGTGCCATCAAGTTGATCTCTAGTGACAGCAACCCTATATAGGGTTTCTGAGGTGAACTTACACTGCTGACCTTGTGGTTCAAACTGACCTTGCAGTCCAGCTCATTAACTCACAGCCAAAGGTAGCCAGATAGAATCAAAGGAAAGGAGATAGGTAGATATAGGTAAGTAGGTAGGTAGATGGAACCGTAGATAGAGAGACATATAGGTCAGTAGATAGATAAATACATGTATGGATGGATAGGTTGTTGTTGTTGTTAAGTGCCATTAATTGGTTCCAGCTCATAGCAACTCTGTACAGGGTTTCTGATGCTTTAAATCTTTGCGGAAGCAGAAAGCCTCATCTTTCTTCTGTGGAGTGGCTGGTGTGCTCGAACTGCTGACCTTGTAGTTCACAGTCCTGTGCTTCTCATATGGAGTATATAGCTAGAAAGGTAGCTAGGTTGACAGAAAGGGAGGGATGGAGGTAGGTAGACAGGTAGGTTGGTAGACTAAAGTGTAGATAGATGGACAAGCAGGCAGGTAAGGTAGGTATATAAGTAGATGAACAGATAGATAAATAGATGACAGGTAGGTGGACAGGTAGAAAGACAACTAGACAGAAAGAAAGGGAGGGAAGGAGGCAGGTAGATAGGTAGACAGAAGTGTAGGTAGATGGGCACATAGGCAGGTAAGGTAGGTAAATAAATAGATGACTGTATGGATTAATAGATGATAGATAGGTATGCAGGTAGAAAGGTAATTAGACAGAAAGAAAGGGAGGGAGGCAGGTAGATTGGTAGGCAGGTCAGTAGCTAGATAGACAGGTAGGTGGGTAGATAAATGGATGGCTCTTTGGGTAGGTGGAGTCCTGGGGTGGCACTGTAGGGTAAGCAGTGGACCACAAGGTTTGTTTCAACCACAAGGTCGGCAGTTCAAACTTCCCAGCCGCTCCTTGGAAACGCCATACAGGATCGCTATGAGTCAGAACCGACTCGATGGCACTTAACAACAACATCAACAATAGGCGGGTGGGTGAAAGGTAGATAGTTTATACTGTGAACAATATGCACAGGTGTGCTTTTATTACAATGACGATAAGTGAAAAGCTGTGTTGCATATAAGAACATGTATCATGTGATGCACATGCATGTTGTGTAGCATGAATTGTACCACATCAGTTGTGTTGCTTGGGGAAGAATGTGAGTGTCACCCCCACCCCCGGCCCCTGTCTGGGTTCAGATCCTGACAGCCTCAGGTATTTCTCTTACTCTCCTAACTCTGAGGCCCCTCATTTGTAGCTTGGGCCTGGGTACCACGAAATCACAGTGCCTACGTAATGGAGTTGGTTTATGAATGAATTGAACTGACGAGTATGAAGTCTTTATATGGGACCTGGCAAAAAGAAGTGGTCAGTACAGAACAGTATTTTCCCTGGTCATGATCTAAGACTGCTGATGAATCACATCACACGAAGGGCAACACACACAGACCACACTATGCCGCACGAATGAAGGTTTTTCTGGGACAGCTTGTGGGTTCCGTGTGGAAAGTGCTGTCAGATTGAACGTGTATTTCTGTACTGTCTGTTTGCCACACACAGCTCAGCTTCCCGTGGCATTTCACAGCGGGGTTGTTGATCAGACTCTTCTGTCCCGTACCTGCTCAATGAGTTCTGGGAGATGTGCATACTCGCGGCACATCACTGTGTGTGGATTTCATCTTCCAGAGCAAGCGTGCAGAAATGCAGAGAAATGTTAACAGTGCTGTGTGATGTATGTAGTGGGTCTGTAGATGTGTTTTGTTTGGTTATTTATTTTCATAAATGGAATTAGGCACTGATGTTTAACAATTGGGGTCCTGGTGTGGCGCTGTAGGATCAGCACTGGACTGCTAACTGCAAGGCTAGCAGTTCAAGTCTGTCAACCCCTTGGAAACCTATGCAGGGTTGTTATCAGTTGGAACCAACTCGATGGCACTTAACAACAACAAAAATCAAATAAAAAGTTAAAAATTAAAAATCAAAAGGTGCCACATAAAATCAGTTGATCTGTTTCTCCTTTAAAATGTGGAAGACTGGTTATTACTCACCCTGGTTTCCCAGAGGACAAAATTCAGCTGGAGCTGGGGGTGTACTAAGCATGATGCACTTGGCCACAGTCCCCAGCATTCCCTATGAAGCCCCTTGCGTGGACACCAGATTCAGTTGCCCTTCATGTGTGTTGTTTCCCCGTTGCTCCACCTACTGCATCCATCCCCAGCCCCCTTCTGGCTTTTACAGGGGTTTGTAATCCCTGGCTTCTGAACTCACAACATCTGAAAGCCCTTCTGATAAGCCCAAGAGGGGCTGGTGAGTAGGAGGAGACCCCTGAGAAGACTCGGAATCCCTGCTTCTCCAGAAGCCTCGCCGCCCCCCCCCCCCCAGGGAAGCAACCACTAGGGATACTGACCCTGCTTATGGAGAAGAGCAACCCCGGCCGGTCGGAACACACGCCGGTGAAGCAGAAACGTAGCTTTCGGTAGAAGAGATGCTCCCAGATGAAGGTGATGAGACTGAGCGCCATGGCGGCCGCCAGCATGTAGAAGACGCCCGCCATGTTGTCGATGTCCAGCTGGCTGCTCATCACCTCGTTCTTCTCGTTGTGGCAGATCCCCGTCAGCCAGAGCGTCTCCAGCTCCTCCATCTCACCTGGATAGAACACAACAGCCACAGGAAGTGAGCACTGGGCACCGCGTCCGGAAAGACCGCTGTGGGGCTCGGACAGACACGAGTGACTCCGGACTCCCCATTTTCAGTTGTGAGCTGAGTCCTCCTAGGCTCCATTTACTCCCGATAATGTACAGGGACCAGCACTGGACTGGGAACCACAAGATCGGCAGTTCAAACCCACCAGCTGCTCCTCAGAAACTCTATACAGGATCACTATGACTTGGAAATGACTTGACGGCACTTAACTACAACAGTAAATGTGGTGCTGTGGGATAAAGCACTGGATTGCTAGGTCAGATTGAATCTCAAGGTCAGTGGTTCAAACTCATCAGCTGCTTGGAAATCCTGTACAGGGTTGCTTTGAGTTGGAACCAACTCGATGTCACTTAACAACAACAACAACAACATCAAACACAGTTTCAAAGAGCCCTGTTGGTGCAGTGAGTTCAGCACTGAGCTGCTAACTGCAGGCTGGCAGTTCAAACCCATTAGGCGCTCTCCAAAAGAAAGCTGTTTGCTCCCATAAAGATGTACAGCCTCAAAAATTCTACACGGGGTTGCTTTGAGTTGGAATCAACTCAATGGCAGTGTGTGTGAAAGAGAATACAGGTGCAAGAAGCCCTAGTGGTGCAGTGGGGTAAGCATTGGACTGCTAACCATAAGTCAGTGGTTCAAAATCACTGGCGGCTCCTTGGGAGAAAGATGAGGCTGTATGTTCCCATAAATATTTACACACTTGGAAACTGATGGGGCAGGTCTATTCTGTCCTCAAGGGCCCACTAGGAGTCAGAATTGACTTATCAGTGGTGAGCTGTTTTGTTTTGTTTTGTTTTGTCTTTAATACAGTTTTGGCACCCTAGGGTGATGCAAATGAGCTCTTGGCTGCTAACTGAACTGAATGGCTGGAAGTTCAAGGCCACCAGAGATACCTTGGAAGAAAGGCCTGGAGATCCACTTCCAGGAAATCAAGTAAAGAAAACTCTACAGAGTACAGTCCTACTCTGACACACATGAGGTCGCCATGTGTTGGTTCCGATTCAGCACCTTGTTAATATAGTTCCAGTGAGAATGAAATGAGGTAATGTCACAGGGAACTAAACACAATCCCTGGCTGTACTGCTCCCCTTCTTACCTTGATGTTCCCTCCACCCTGCTTTCCTAGGCTCCTGCCCCAGCATGCACCCCAGTCAGGTACAGGACTTATAGATCAACTGGCAGCTATAGTGGAAAGATTTGCATTTCAATTCTAACTTGATCACTTCCTAGCTGTGGGCCCTCAGAACCACAGTTACCCTGTCTGTGAAATGTGTATAATGATAAATAACACATGCCTCATAGACTTGGGAAGAGGCTCAAGTAAGATCACGTATGCATAATATCTAATGTAGTGTCTGGCTCATAGCAAGTTCTCAATAAATAGACTGGAGTTGTGAAGGAAATGCTTAGCACAGTGCTTGGCATGTGGTGGTTGATGCTTAGATGCCACAGAGTTGATTTAGGCTCACAGTGACCCCATGTGACAAGAGTAGAACTTCCCCAAAGGGTTTTCTAGGATGTCATCTTCAAGGTCTCTCACCCACAGGGCTACTGGGTGGGCTTGAACTGCTAACCTTCCAGTTAGCAGCCTCATGCTTAACTGATGTGTCACCAGAGCTCCTTTGGCACATGAAAGCCCTAAAATATATTTGTTCCTTTTGTATTCCTTCACTTTTTAGGAGTCCTGGTGTGGTACTGTAGGGTAAATACTGGACTGCTAACTGTGAGGCCAGTGGTTCAAAACTACTAGTTGCTCCTCGTAAACTCTACATAGGATCGTTATGAGTCGGAACAGACTCAATGGTAATTCAGAACAACAGCATCGAAGACTACGTCAACGAGACGCCCGCCAGCAGTGTTCTTAGGATGTAAGACTTGAGTTGAAGAGAGGCAACCCAAAGGCTCTGGTTGGCTCCTTGCCCAACTGAACACTTCTCCACATAGGCAGACAATTAAAGAAGCCGGCAACTGTTTTTATGGGAGGGGAGGTGTTGCTTACAGGATTTGATCTCTCTTTTATGCACATTCTATCAAATTGAGGCTGTTCTCTGACCTAAATGTCTAGCAATTACATTGTCTAACAATTCACATAACTCCAGCACTTCCAATATGATTCGGTCTTTAAAACATATTCTTCAAGGACAGTGAAAATCAAGAAAACAAACAAACTCAAACCCAGTGCCCTGGAGTGGATTCTGACGCATGGTGACCCTGCAGGGCAGAGTCCAATAGCTCCATAGGGTTTCCAAGGCTATGAATCTTTACAGGAGCAGACTGCCCAGTGTTTCTCCCATGGAGTGGTGGCTGGTGGATTTGAACTGCCGAGAGCTTAGCCATTGTGCCATCAGGTGTCCTCCGAAAATAAAGGGAGATGTATGTAATGCTAAATACAATGTGTGTCTGTATTTGTGTGTGCATGTTGCTGTTGTTGTTAAGCGCCATTGAGTTGGTTCCACCCCGTATGGGGTTTCTGATGAGCAGCTGGTGAGCTTGAACCGCAGGCCTTGCAGTTTAAACAGATCTATATGTGTGTATACATATATGTAGATCTACGATATATATGTATCACATATAATCTTTAAAATGTAAAAAGAGGTGTGCAGAGAAGAACAATGCATATATTTCAAATGTTTATGTAGATTTCCTTTTGAAGAGGCTAATCATAATGATTGCTCTTACATTTGTTTCTTTTTATGTTTGGTGAAAACCCAAATCAAACCATTTTCTGTCATTCTGTCTCACAGCAACCCTGTAGGATGTAGGAGAACTGCTCTATAGGGTTTCCAAGGTTACCATCTTTACGGAAGATGCCCCATCTTTTACCCACTGATCGACCAGTGGGTTTGAACTGATGAACTTTCAGTTAGCTGCCAAGTGCTTAACCACTGCATCAACAGGGATCCTTACACTGGATGAAATTATTGTTTATTACTTTTGATTTGATCTCATGGATGAATGATTTGGCCAAACACAGAATTCTAGGTTGACAATCACCTTTCTCAACTTTTTCAAGATGTTATTACATTTTCCTCTGGCCTCAAGTGGCTGTGGGTGAAACATTTGCTGATCCCCTAACTGCAGTTGTCTACGCAAGCTGGATCTTCTCTCTGATCATTTCTGAGAATTTCACTTTGTCTTTGGCGTGGAAGCGACTGGATGTGGATCTGTGATATCTGTTCTGCTCTGGATTTAGTGTGCTTCTCCAATCTATCTGGTAACTCCTATCTTCAGCTGCAGAAACTTCTCACTGGTTTTCTCTGTGAATATTAACTCTCCCTTATTCTGTATTTTGTTTTCTTCTGAAAATAGAGTTAAAAATATTCTCCACCTTTTCATTCTACTTTGCGTTTCATGTTTTCCACTTCTTTACAATTAAATGATTCCCACACATCTATCTTACACCTCATTTATTCTTCCATTAGTGCTATTTGGTGGTTATGTGGTGTGGAGTGGGTTCTAACTAATAGTGATCCTGGTACAGGGTTTCCAGTGCTGTAAATCTTTATGGGAGCAGAAAGCATCATCTCACGACTCACGGTGACCCCATGTGTGTTAGAGCATAATTGTGCTCCATAGGTTTCAAAGTAGTTGAATTTTTGGAAGTAGATAGCAGAATTTTCTTCGGAGGCACCTCTGAATGGACTTGAACCTCCAACCTTTCTGTTAGCAGTTGAGTGTACTAACCCTTTGCACCCCTCAGGGGCTCCTTTCCTGCTCTGGGTTTTGAAGTACTCATCATCCTGTGGGTGCTGTGTGCTGACACACGGCAGGTGATTTCCTTGGACCATTTGTAATCTGTGGTCCTGAGCTAGGCCTCAGCAAAAAAGCTCTCTCTATACCCTTGAGAGGTTCCAAGCACAATGTTGTCATTAATGCCACTGTGTTAGTTCCAACTCATAGTGACCCTGTATAAGGTTTCCAAGGAGCGATTGGTGAGCCTGAACCACTGACCTTGTGGTTCAAACCAACCTTGTGGTTCAGACTGACTTGTGGTCCGGTGCTTTAACCTACAGCACTACACCAGGACTCCATGCACACACACTAGGTTATAGAAATGCTCCTAGAAAAGAGTTCTGCGTTTGCTTCTGCCTTGAATGTGGGATTTTCAATGTGCCCATTTTTATATGACTGACCCATTTAAGTAGTATACAGTTGTATCCCTACAGTCACTTGGGTTTTAATTTCTTTCTGAAGAGTCTCATAATACCTGCAAGCCTTTCTGGATTTTCTTTGCATTGATGGACAGGTTTTCCTTATCATCTGCTTATCACCGGGCAAGTCACTTCTTGAAGGGCTCAACTTTTGGCAACTGATCCATCTCACCTGGTATTATTTTGCAAGTGTATTGTATAAAGTAAAGCTCTTCCTTGTTTGCACAGGTTCGGAGCCCCCACACAAGTGTTAAAGCCTCAGCTCTTCACCCCCTTGGGCTGTCGCAGCCTCGGCTGAAATTTTCCATTAGAATAGCCTTTCCCCCTTTGTTTCTGTCACCTTTCTGTTGAGCCTGGCTGTGTACTGTGCATGTGTGTATGTGTACACATGTACACTGCATGTTTTTAAGACTGCGTATTGTAGCAGGAAGGAGAATCCTGGAGTGGAACACAGAGTTAGTAGGCTCAGCTGCTAATCCAAATGTTTAAAGTTTGAGTCCACCCAGAGGCACCTCAGAAGAAAGGCCTGGCGATCTCTGTTTAAAAAAATTACCCACTGAAGACTCTGTGGAGCACAACTGTACTCTAATACACGTGGGGTCACCATGAGTTGGAGATCCCCCAAAACAAATCTACCTCTATAGATGGAGTCGATTCTGACTCAGAGTTACCCAACATAGGGTTTCAGAGGTTGAAAATCTCCCTGTGAGCAAACAGCCTCATCTTTTTCCTGCAGAGTGGCTGGTGGGTTTGAACGGCCGACCTTGTGTTCAGCAGCCCAACACCAAATGC